TGCGGCAGCTCCTGAGACATTGGAAGACTGCTATCATGTCACCCCTAGTCCTTCTTTTCATCAGACTAGACATACCCAGTTCCAGCAATCCTTCTTTATATGTTTTACTCTCCAGGCCCCTAATCATCTTAGTTGCTCTTCTCTGCACTCTTTCTAGAGCCTCGAGATCTTTTTTTTTACATCGTGGCAACTAAAACTGGATGCAGTATTCCAAGTGTGGCCTTACCAAGGCATTATAAAGTGGTATTAACACTTCATGTGATCTTGATTCTGTCCAATCTGTATGAGCAGCATTAGAAATTTAGATCCCATTGATTAGGCAATGTCATCTGGTGGAATCCAGAAAGCCTTCTCTATTCTAGAGCATGTCCTGGGCAACAATGTCCCTGCAACATATTTGTCTGCCCTCAAGCTCATTTAAAAGAATCGTAAAATCCTGGCTTTCTCTCCAGACCTTGGTCTAGGATATACAGCAGGCTTCTTATAGAAACTGTTTGTATCAAGCAATCATATGCTTTATTGCTCTTTCTGGATGTTTGCCATTCCTTTGATCTGCTATATTGTTCTAAATTGGGTTTTTTAAAACATTGTACAATATCTACAGTCATTAAGGGACGAAGGGAACTTAGAAATTTGATAAAGTAAATAAAAAGGTTATATAGTAGTAGAACCAGAAAAGCTAGAGGGATTTTTTTTTTAGCCAAAATCCACAAATGAAAAACTGTTGCATCTTGTACAATCTTTCTCATTGTCTTTAGATACGTTAGTTGCAATCTATTGTTTCTACACTGAGTTGCCTTTGGTTACAGGTATGAAGTAAGAATTCCTTTATTTCATATAAGTTTTCAAAGCATGTGCAAAAATGACACATCTTCAGTCAAATGCAGAACTATATGCATGTAGTATTTCTTTTTCTGAAATGATGTGTAAGCCATTTTTTCGTTATTGCCTGAAGAAAGAAACTCTGAAAGGGTTTAAGATCTAAAACTACAGGCTCAATCCTGTGGACCCCAAGACTCATAGGGCTCTCTCTCTAGGAGTGATTTTTTTTATGTCAAACATATACTGAAATCAATAAATCAATCAATACAGGAAAGAAGTACAACCATTGTCTCTTAGACAGTATGCATTGCAACTCTCATAACTCTATTCTACTATACTATTAGATTTTGATTCCCATCAATCTCAAACAACTGCAAGGCAGCATATTGCCAACCACATCTGTCAACACTATATTTTTTTTCAGCCAGGGAATGGTTTAGATTGACTTACTGCTCCTGGAAAACTCAAAACTGTTCAGAGTAATCTAAAATTTCATATGCATTTTGCATGAAAGGCTCTGTTACTTCAAACACATTAAAAAAAGAACATAGCCTAAACCATCTAAAAGATATAAACTATGAACAAATATCTCAGCCCCTTTAATTGTTAATATTTCTGTTAACGCATCAATTACACAGTGTTTAAGCAAGAAAAAGTTTATCTGAAATACAGTGCTTCATGTCTCATAAATAGATGCTGTGACTCAGGTGGCACTATCTGGCTGATCTCATTTGGACTTCAAAGCTAAGTAGGCTGTATGTATTAAAGAGAGAGATCACTATGGAATACCAAGACCATAAAGTGGATTAGCAAAATCAAAGAACATCAGAAGAAGCCAATGGCAAATCACTTGAATACAGGTAGATTTTGACTTACAACCATTCGTTTAGCAACTGTTCGATGTTACAACAGCAGTGAAAAAAGTGATTTACAGCTGTAAATGTCCTCACATTTACAATTAGTGTAGCCTTCCCATGGTCACATGATCAAAATTTGGCTGCTTGACATCCAGCACGTATTTACAATGGCTACAACATCCCAGGGTCCTATGGCCATTTCAGTATTGCAGGAAAGCTATCGATTTGAATCTATGACAATGATCAGAAGTTAGACTCATGTTGAGAGCATCTTTATCTTTTTAATCTCACAACCAGTAAAAAATGAGAAGCGAATCAAAACAATTGATGTACCACAGTATTCCAGTTTCTTTATTCATATATATGCGTGTGTGTGTGTGTATGTGTGTGTATTTATATTTAGGATGATACTGCACTCATTTATTTTCCAAGCCTAGAATTAAAACTAATAGCTAGTTTGGAATATACAACAGTTGTTCCATTGTAGTTTAATTATCATAGGAGAACATCTGCGATATAGTAAAGTTGATTCTTCACTGAATATACAGAATTCATACCATACCAAGTAATTAATTAATAGCAATGACAACACATATTGCCTGTATTCTATTTTTAAAGTGTTTTCAGGAGAAAAAAATTGCGAGTATTTTATTGTATGATTTAGTTCTTTTCCAAGAATGTATCTTCTTTATTTATTGAATGGATTGATTGCCGTGATGGTGAAGATGCCCACCTTCCATTCGGAAGGTTGAGAGTTCAATCCTAGCTAGTGGCAGATATTTCTCTCCCAGGGTGCAAAGAAAAAATATCTGCTGCAAACTCTGCACAGGCATCTGGAAGGGCATCCAGCCCATGTGCTTGGCTCTATCCAATCATCCTGACTCTGTCCCAAACAGGGATTACAGGGTTGTAAAAATGGAGTTTTATTTATTCAATGGATTAGTTCTTACCTAGTTTAAGCTCGGTATACAACATTTGCTAAGCATGCAAGGGGGCACAGTTCCCAATTTAAAGCCAATTTTTCCCTTGGGAAATATGCCTGAACTGAGATAGTACATGACATTAATTTTAAACAAGTTTTTCAAAGATGAATTATACTCTGCCACTAAGATCTAAGCAAAAATAATGGTATATTTTAACAATAGCAAGCAGCAAGATGATCCTGTTAAGCTAAAGCCTATGATTAGGTTTCCAGCACATGAGCCAAAAAGGAACTAACAACTGTCACTGCAACCCTATGGCACATACACCTGGAATTTAAACCTACTAGGTCTTGTAAAATTTAATCCCAACTAAATATGGAAAATTATACCTTAAATTGCATTTGATATGTGTATTTCTTGTTACCTCTTTGATTTGCATATCTCACTCTTGCTTTGGACACATGACATGGATCAGTCCCTGAAACCGCAAGGTGCTTATTTCTGCCTAACTTGGCTAGAAATCAGATTTGAAAACACGTGTTAAAGGGTTAGATAATGATGAAGAATGCACATGAACAAAGTTAATAAAGAAACGAACCTAAACCTATTTGGAAGCAAACAACAGCATAGACAAGGCACACGACATCCGAGTAAATATGCCAGGATTCACACACCTGTTTGGCAACAAAACATTTTGAAAGGTTGGGGGTGAGTGACATCTCTGAGAATTTCAGCATTTTCAAAAAAAATAATTGTACTCTAGGTCAGGGGTCTCCCACTTTGGCAAGTTTAAGACTTGTGGACTTCAACTCCCAGAGCTTTGCTGGCTAAAAAACTCTGGGAGTTGAAGTCCACAAGTTGCCAAGGTTGGAGACCCTTGCTCTATGTTAAAGGCCAGTATTTCCAAACAATGAGTGATCCTTACAGGGAGGCAAGAAAGGGAATGTTCTCCTTTAAGAACAGTTATCCTGTGAGGTGTGGAAGGCTAGAGAATGTTTATTTATTTATCTATCTATCTATTTATTTATTTATTTTTATTTGTCAATCGCTTACAAGATAATAGGTATAAGTATATACATAGTTATGAATACATGAAATGGCTACATATAAGATAAATAAAAGAAACAGTAGGACAGGGACAGTCGGCACGTTGGTGCGCTTATGCACACCCCCTACAGACCTCTTAGGAAAGGGGTGAGGTCAATAATAGTGTAAAGTTAAAGTTTTTGGGGTTTGGGGAAGAAACCACAGAGTCAGGTAGAGTATATGGTTGCATGTTTAAGAGGTCTTTGATGCTCTCTGTTTTCTTGCAGAGATTTCATTATCCAAACTAGGTAACTTCATCATTGCTAATAAGGGATGGATTAACCCTGATGGTGTTACCTACTTTAGATAATGAAACATCTGCAAGAAAACAATCAAGCTCAGAGAGCATAGATAATTCCTCATTTCAACCCTGAGCTACAAATACTCTCCTTTATCAACACAGTTACCCTTGGTTTAGCAGCTTTGAGCCAGATTCCCTTCCTGTCTTCCATTAAACTCAGTTCAATAGATATAACGTGATTTTCCAGTCTCAGGCAGGCCAGAAGGGGCTCCCATCACCCTTCCCAGACAACACACAGGAGGTCAACCTCATTCATCTCAGGTGACTCCCAGGCAGCCCAATCTTTCTTACAGATATAAACAAGCCCCACCGGCTCCTCCTTTCCGTTTCCAGCCCAGAGACGCCACCAGCAATCGATAAGGAAGTGCATTACTTGAATTAAAAGTTTCTCCTCGTTAATCGCAAAAAGTCTAAGGGATCCACGTTTTAGGTCCGGCTTCCCAAATCAACCCTAGTTGACAAGCAGCATGTATTTACGATGGTTGCCTTTATCCCAGAGCACTATAAGCCTTCCTCTTGTATGTGGAAATGTATGTGTGCGCAGCACGTACACACACACACACACACACACACACACACGTGCATCCAGGGATCGAAGTACTGTAGTTCCCTTCCAGCACTACCAAACGTTTGTAAACGGCATGCCCAGCCCAGTGCTTATCGCTCAGCCGCTGCAAGGTGCCTCCCTCGAGACGCCAGGTACGGACATGGCGATCCGCGCCTGGCTGCCTTGCCCGCGGTCTCCGCCCGCCAAGGTTGCCTCCCCACGGCTGAAGGCGAGATCAGTGCGACACCTTCGCCTCAGGAAAGAGCCTTGGCCAGGAAGGGACTTGGGGGTGGGATGGGAGTCACCGATGCTAGGTAGCTTTAGCACCCGCTACGTAAGTGATGCGCTCAAGAGGTGAAGGGAGGTGGACGGGCGCCCGCCCCGAAATAGCAGGCGGCAGGGCACCGTCCGCTCCCCCGGCCACCTGGAAGAGATCGACGGCGAGGGAAGGTGCCGCTACTCACCCCAGCTACGTGCTCCTCTCTCCCGTCAGCGCCATCGAGAGCCAGGGAGAGTTCCCCGAAGGGCTTTCGAGCCTCCGATGTCGGCGGCTGGCAACCGCCCGGCCAGATCCCACCTCAGCCTGCCAAGGGATTCGGAAGCTCAGCCCGCTTTGCGCGGCGCTAAGGAGTCAGCCACTTTGCACGGCGCCACCGCCGCTGCCGCCGCCGCTCTCGTTGCAAGAGGCTGGCTGCGGCCAAACACGCGTGCCGCACCTCCGAGCTGAGCCAGGGCGGAGGAGGCGTGCAGCGCCGCCTTGCCGCCGCGCGCGGAAACGGGCCACTAAGGGTCGTGGGCCCCTCCCCGCCTCCCCAGCGCTTCTCGCCTCGGCTAAAGCCGGGCTTTTGCTGCTTTTCCCAGGCACGTGTTGAGGCGGACCGTTTCCCCCACCCCACCCCCACCCCCGCGGCCGCGGACAGCCAATAAGAGAGGAGCGCGGCAAGCCAGGGTGGACAGGTGTAGCCCACGTAATGGACGGGCCTCCAAGCGCCAGGCCCTCTTCGTTTGCCTTCTGTGGTTTGTCCCGGGGACGCCGAACGGTGACTGGCTCGCCGTCAGTCAGTTCGTGCGTTCGACGAAGGCTCCGCCGGCAAATCCCCAAATCGCGTCATCTACTACGCTTTAAATATTCCGATCCATTGCGGGAAATTGTTCCTCCCGAAAAGAGACAGAGACAGAGACAGAGACAGAGAAAGAGAAAGAGAGACAGTTGGTTGTCTAAGACAGGTTCCTGATTGAGCCACCATCAGTGAAACGGATAATGCTCTAAGGCAGGGGTGTCCAACCTTGGCAACTTTAAGGTGTGTGGACTTCAACTCCCAGAATTCCCCAGCCAGACACCTTAAAGTTGCCAAGGTTGGACACCCCTGCTCTAAGGCGAGCAAAGTAGGTGCCCTTATTTATTTCATGAAGATCCACCAGCTTCTTCTGAGATTTTAGAGCTCCTAAGCCAGGAGTCGCCAAACTTGGCAACTTCAAGACTTGTAGACTTCAACTCCCAGAATTCTATGCTGCTTGGAGAATTCTGGGAGTTGAAGTCCACAACTCTTAAGTTGCCAAGTTTGGAGATTTCTGCCCTAAGCTGAGGTAGCTGCTTACTTAACAGTCCTGCAGTCACTTAACGCTAAAATCTCTAAACTTAAAAGCCAGGGAAGCAGTTACGTGAAAAAGCGAACCTTCATTTGTTTTTGTAGAAAGGGGAATCTTTTGTTAATCCTGCTTTCCAACTCTATTCTGCTACACATATACGGGTAGTCCTCGACGTACAACTACAATTGAGCTGAACATTTCTGTTGCTTAATGAGGCATTTTTTAACTGAGTTTTGCCCCAATTTACGACCTTTCTTGCTACAGTTGTTAAGTGAGTAACACGGGGGTGAAGTGAAACTGGCTTCCCCATTGATTTTGCTTGACAGAATCTCGCAAAAGGGGAATGGCATGAGCCTGGACACTGCCACCATCATAAATATGAGTTGGCATCCAGGTGTCTGAATGTTGACCGTGTGACCAGAGGACACTGCAATGGTTGTAAGTGTGAAAAATGGTCGTAAGTCACTTTTCTCAGTGCTGTTGTAACTTCGACCAGTCACTAAATGAAACAAATCAAGGATTACCTGTAACTTCATAACTAGAAAGACTGGCCCCTCCTTCTTCCTGTCTTTCAATTTTATTCCTTTTTCACGTGGACAGTTCTTCCCCCTCCGCCCCAAATTCAACCAACCAATGGATCAGTGAACAAATCAATTCTCACTGGAAACACAAATGATCAGGTTCCATTGATCCAGTCCCATTCTAGACATTCTGCAAAGATCTAACTGAAAAAGGCTGTAACATCAGGAAAGTTGGAAGGTGTCCTGACCCAAGCCTTGTTCAAAGCAAACAAACACCAAACAGAGATAAAAGCAAAACCTTTTCAATGCTTCTCTGTGAATTCCATTCATTCACAGTAAAAGACTATTAAAAACTAAATATCCCAGATAAGAACAACCCTTGCCAAGGTTGTGCAAGGCTGCCAAGAACACTAGATTAAATTGCAAGGAAATAATCAAAGCCAAAAGTCTCCAAACACAAACCAGGATAGTCCGAACTTCCACAAGACTTGAAGTGCAAGAACTTCTTTGCTTCCTGCAAAGAATCCCACCTCTGAGGGCTGAGGGCCATCACCGTGCAGCCTTACTCCCGAGTCACCTGTGCTGCTGCAGCTGCTCTTTCCTTCAAGCAGCCCTGCGCGCACATGCATTGGGCACAGGCTCCTTGGGGTCTTCTGCATTACTGCTTCCAGCCTCCACAAGCTCCAAAGGCAGCACTCCACTCTCTGATAGTCCTGGTCCCATCCCTGCATCACATGCAGGTCCCTCATCCGCGTCCTCGCTCTCTGAGACCTCAGCTGTCTACACCTGCTGCCAGCGAACCACAACAGAAGGAAAAGACAACTAGTAGCCAGGTGGATGGACTCAATTAAAATGGTTTGGGACATCACCTTGGAGAAACTATATATGAGATTGCCATGAGTCAAAAACAACTTGACGGTACTTAAACATGTTTACTGGTTTGCCTTGTCAGATGCTGCCTGGAAAGAAGAGAGAAACGTGTCTCTGCAGCCTTGCACTGAACACAGAGGAGCATGCAGCCTTGAGGCTAGTTAGCACCCTGAAAGCACTCCCTTTGCCTTTTAATTTCTGTTTAATTTTATTTTTAATCATCCCTGACTCTTTTTTAAAAAAAACCTTTTATATACTATTTTTATGTTTTGATATTTTATTGTATATCACTCACAGGAGGGAGACAGGCAGTTCCAAGATATGATAAATAAATAATGTCCAAACAGATAGTTTGAACTGTGTTTTTCCTTCAAATGATGATTTAAAGGCATGGTTACGATTTCCTGGCTTCTAGAATAGCCTGGAAGCCATTTGAATGAGCACCACTGTAACATATATTTAGCAGACTTGGAGAAGGAGGACAGGAATTGACATCCAAACAGGAACTGGCATCCAAAAGAGTAGGGGGGAGAAAATAATCACAGTTTTGTGGATCCAAAACACGTGAAGGGTCGGGTACAAGAGACCTGAATAAGATCGTTTTAAAGACCATTGAATTGAGGGATTTGTGTTGGTTGGTGGTTCTATGAAGATGCAGAGGTTATCTTTGTATCATTCCATTTAGTAATTAAAATATAGTGGGACATTGTGTAAAGAAGAAAAAGATAACTAGCAGTTAGTTTTGGGCATGATTCATGCCATTTATTTTACTGTGGCATGTTAAAGAAGAACATCAGATAAAGAACTGCTCTGTTAAAGGCATCAATTGTAACAGGACTTTGGTGGCACTAAATTTACAGTACTCAGAATAAATCTTGATTGACTCATCTCAAAATGTAGGATACACAACAGTTAAACACAGTTATTAAGTTATTAAGAGGTCTTTATTTCTTTGTTTTTCCTTGTGCTTTTCTTTAGAAAACAGGTAAGGTATTTTGGCATATTCTGAGTGAGACTAAAGTGGAGTTGACTGAGGTAGAATTAATGGAAAACATAGTTCTAAATTATCAACAAAATCAATTCCAATATATTATGTAATCTTGAAGGATTGGAATATATCTTGGTTTTTAAGATCCAGCATCTAATTTATTAATCTCTATCTCTAATCCCAATTGAATTGGGGGTAATCACCCTTGCCAATTGATTCAAATTTAAAAACATAATAATCTAGCATTCATTCTTCACTTACTGAGCTTGCCATGGCTGCCCTACAAAATAGTTCTATTCTTCTTCCGGTTTGAAGGGCTCCGGCGACAGACAGAAATCCGCGATCGTGTGCTGTTTCTGCCTGGGCTCGCCGCTGGAGCGTCCCGAGCCGGCTGGTTTTGGGGCTAAGCCACCCCATAGAGGTGGTGAAGAGAGGGGAGACTGCCAGCAGGGTCAAGGAGAGCCACATCTCTCCTCCTCAGCTGGCCATTACTCCCTTTCCCAAAGGCGGTAGCAGCGGTGGTCCGAAATGACCACCACAAAGAAGAACTCGACTGGAAAAGTGCAGGAGGAAGATAAGAAGTGAAAGTTTTGGCTGACCGGGTTAAATTGTAAAAGCAACAACCAAGGTATCCTGGAATTTAAACTTACAAAAAATAACATTGTTCCCAAAGAAGGGTCGAAAGCAGCGAAGGAAAGTGAAAAGGGAAAGGTTTGGCTTTTTTTTTCTTCTCTCTCCTTCCCTATACTAAGAGACTTAAATAAGAAATTGGAAAAATCCGCTTTGACATCAATAGGCAATTAAGCTGAAAATAAAACAAAATGCCAAAGGGATAATAAAGATTTCTGGACATTAAAAACTTTCTTTTTCATAAGCAGGAAGGGAGAGAAAAAGAATAAGGGCAGGATCTGGAAGAGGGAGGAGACTACCTGGAATTAAAAAGAATCTAAAGTAAAACGTCAACAAGACTTCTAAAAGATACATTTTAACTGAAACTTTGCAACTAAATAGTAACCCCAGGAAGAGAAAGTGAAAAAAAAGAGCAAAAAAGAAACAGCTTGCGTGTATTTGGATTATTTGGTGATTTTGGGATTCTTGGTTATTGTATTTGAATGACTAAAATCAATCGGGTGGTTGTTTAAAAATTTATACAATGGCACCACTTCTGGATGAATTGAAAATGGAACTGAAAAAGTACAAAGAAGATGCACAAGAAGGGAAGGGTTCTTTTGGCTTCTTTTTTCAATTCTTAGAAATGGAGATTTGGAACTATGAGAAACAACAAGAAAAGACTGCAAAACAAGAAGACTGGGACAAAGAAGAAGCCATCTTTAATGAACAAGCAATTTTATGTGGGGAAGAAAAAGGAAAGGGGGGAAAGAGAATGGAGAATTTAAGACTTAAAAAAACAACCAAAGAAAAGAAAAATAATTTGAAAAATAAGTATAATGCTGGAAAGCAACAGAAAAGGGGAATATAGAAGAGAGAAATAGAGGTAGAGAGACAAGGGGGTAAAAAGGGGAGAGAGAAGAAGAGAGGGAAGAAGGAAAGGAAAAGAAGTTACAAAGGACTGGAGCAAGATATAGAGAAACAGGACCTATTTAGAGAT